CCCCAATCGTTCCTCTTTCCCCCTTCCTCCATCCCTCACTGCTTCCCACCCATCCTGTTCCTGATAGGGTTGGGAGGGACTCACCTACAGAGCCAGGGATGGGAACTGCAGCCACCTGGTGCAAGTAGGAGGTAGCCCTGGCTGAGTAGGGGCTGGTACATTCAGTGTCTCCCTCGCCCCATGTAAACAGTTTTGGGTGTCTGGTCAGTAGGTATGACTTTACACCATCTTTGACTGGATGTTCTGGTTGACAATTGGCCCACTAACCGCTCTACTGCTACTATCCTCAAAGAATTTACAATCTAAAATACAGACACACTGAAAACTGAACAAACTGGAAAATTACGTAGTTGTTTTTGGTTTTGGTTTTTTTGAGAAGGAAAGGATGATGTTGCCTTTACTTCCTCCTTTTTATAATCAGCTCACTTCTGGACTTTATCAAGGACACAAAAGTCAGGTAGTAGTCTATAATTAGTAATTTTTATCAAGTATTTAAAAGGCTAGAGGTGAACTTACTGATTGAAATTGTGAAGTGTAGTTAAAGGAGCATAAATCAGGAGCACCACTGAAGTTGGCCGAGTTACTGTCCTAGATTGTATCAGTGTAAATTACACCAGCACATGGTGTGTTTATGGCCTGTTTGAGAGACACATTTTTGCTTAGTCACTCTTAAAATTTTGTTGAATCAGTGTGCCTTTTACCTAGTCCCTGTTCCGCCTTTTCTGTGCAAATCAGTTGTCTGTAAAGAGGTTTCCCATTGTTGTACTAATGGGGGCTAATTGATGGATGAATTTCCAGTTTTCTGTGTCCAATTTTATTTGTGTATGCTCTATGGGGAATTGTAGAGAAGATAAGGATTCCTTTCAAACCAGCTTCTGCTTTCCTTTCAAGCCTCCCTGATCTGTCTTGTTTGGCATCACCACAGTGAACAATAAAAAACTCAGTGTTGTAACTAAAAATGTGGAAGTTAGTAACTTCTATAAACATTACAAACCCTTGCTTTTCCTTTTTTGCTTAGACAAAAGGCTCATTATCTCATTAATGATCTTAGTTTATGAAGATTCAGCCTGGAGTTAAATTTTATATCTGAGATTTAAACAATGTTTTAGTGTTAACTTTTTTGAAGTCTGCTTTAGCAGCACTAGTAGGTGCTGATGCTATACAATTCACATCTCCAGACAAGTTCACAGGAAGTCATCAGAAAAATAGATATTAATCTCTAGGAGAAAAATATAATTACATTGGTTATGAGGTCAGAACCCTTCCTTTCACTCATGAGCCACTATGGATAAGCATTGCCAGAACCAATAACTAGTGACAATTTTAAAGACCGCTGTGGCACAAACATCAGGATTAGTAATGGGTATGCTGCATTATACTATTGGAAATCTGTGAATCTCTATTTTACAGTGGTAACATTTTCGTCAAGCCCTGTTCAGTCAAAATAGTTGTAATTTTAAGTGTTATTGGTCTCTGTATCCTTAAAAGCATGCAGTTGTGAGTGTTGCTGTTGTTCCTGGTTTTTTTCCCCTTCCCCTCTTGAATTTCAGTATCATTTTAGAAGCCATTGCCGCAGACTTCTAGAGGTAGAAAACAAGGTCTCAGTCCTGCGTTTGGCCCCATTCAGAAGGGCCCAATTGCATAAGAACCCAAGTGTTGTATTGCCTCTGAAAGTTTTATACCCAGTTTTCAAGTGGTATAAAGCAGTAATCTTTAACTCTAGTGTCTCATTTAATAATAGCTGCAAACATCATGTCAGAATTGAAGTGGGTGTATGAATTACATATCTGTTAACATTTAATTTATATGTTACGGACATGTTTGCACTCTGAGCATATGAACAAATCGGTGCATGGAAATTATATAAAAATACATATGAATTAGGGATGTAAAAATGTGTTTAAAAATGTAACTGTGTAACTGCAACAGTTCATAGCGGTTAGTTACATGTGCTGTGGGCTCTGCAGCTGGCTCCCTTGGAGCTAGTGTGTAACTAGCAGCAGTGGGGAGCGGGGGGGAGGAAGAGGTGAAGGGTGGCTGGACCCGCCATGAACAGGGGCTGCTCCTTTGGGTCCCAGAGGCCTGGAGCAGCCCTCTGTCTTGGGTGGGCAGGGAGCTGCTCCATCTCCTACTGATTAAGGATGAGATTTACTGGTTAGCCAGTTAACCTTTTACATCCTTAATATAAACACGTCATTGTGTGCTAGTGCCAGCTCAGTAAAATTAACCCTCATCTATTTCTTACTCCGTTCTTTCCATAGACTTTAACTGGTGTCTGGAATGCCAAACGGGGAATGATAGCTGTTGGCTTTTTTATCTCCTGTTACGAAGTTTAGGAATGAGCCATGCTTGTGCAACCCCTTATCTGGATGGTCATTGATTTCGATTACAAAGTATTAACTAGACCTCTTGGGAAATTTAAGAACGTATGATCATTGATTGCTGTTTAAAAATGAGGTATATTTTTGTCATTCAGAACCAAAACCAGCATTCTGGTTCAAATGCTGATAAAAGATTTAGGTATTTTAGAGGTCAGTGGTAATTGTTTTAGAATGGAAATTTTGGAATACTAAATGCCCACTGATGTATTTCCTTCCATGTTTTCAGTGCTTGATATATAGTACCTTTGGGAAGGATGTCTTATCTGTAATGTCTTTTTTTCTATTTTATGGCTTTTAGTCCTGCTTAGCTCAGTCTCTAGAAAATAATTAGCATTCATACCCATTAGCTACTCATTTTGAACTTTTTGCCTTGAACTTTGGCCAAAATTATCATGAGTATTCCATTACAAATTGTTCTTTTACTACTAATCTGATCCCAGTCTCACTGAAAACAGCATTTTTCTGAAACCCAGAGATTATTTCTACTATCCTGTCTACTCAACCATAAGCAAGTTCTCCTTTTTCCTCCTCAGCCCTCATTTCTTCCAGCCCCCAATTCTATATCAGTATATTCCTAGTGAATTGATTCTGTTTGTGGCAGGGACCACTACTTGCAACATATGCCCCACAGTTCCACACTCATGAAAACATACAATCATTCCAGTACAGATAGATGGATAGATACATCCACAATTTGGATCACTGGATTACTTTTAAGGAGTTTCTAAGGATAGGTTTACATTAGGGGAGGGGAAAAGGTTGCCTTAGGTATGCAACTCCATCTACGTAAATAACATAGCTGCAGTCGATGTACCTTAAGCTGAACTTGACACCCTCTCCACAGTGGGAGGTCAGTGGGGGAAACGTTCTTTCTCGGTGTTCGATTTAGTGGGTCTTTATTACACCTGCCAAATCAAACCCTGGAAGATCAATTGCCAGGGCATCGATCCTCCGGTAAGTGGAGACGTGGCCACAGTCTCAGAGACTTTTGTGGTGCTGCTAACCTCCACATGGACTCTTTACAGTCCTTTTACCTAGAACATTATACCCTAAAGCAGTGATCTCCAACCTTTTTAAGAACGAGATCACTTTTTGAATTTAAGTGCAATCTAAGATCTACCTCAGATCCAAATACCCTTGCCCCACCTCTTTTGTATCCCTTCTCTAAGGCCCCTCCCCGCTCACTCTGTCCTCCCTCCCATCCTCCCTCACTTTCACCAGGCTGGGGCAGAGGGTTGGGGTGCAGGCTCTGGTCTTGGCTTAAGGGATCTGGAGTGTGAGAGGGACTCTGAGCTGAGCTTGGGGCAGGCTGTTAGGGTACCGGAGGGGGTTCTAGGTGCAGGCTCTGGAAGGGCATTTGGATATAGGTGTGTTCGGGACTGGGGCTTGGTGTGTAAGAGGGGGTTCATGATTGGGGTGGGCTCCAGCTGGTCACTCATTACCTCAGGTGGCTCCTGGGTGGTGGTACAGTGGGGCTAAGGCAGGCTCACCCCTACACTGGCCCTGCACCACTCTCAAAAGTAGCCAGCAAACTCCATCTCAAGTCCTGTTGTGCCCCTCTCTGCTCTGTGGAGATATGATGCAGGGTGGGAGGGGGAGCATCTTGACATCAGCACCCCTCCTTTCCTTCCCTGCGCCTTCACAGCAAGTAGGAGGCTCCTAAGGGGACAGCTCCAAGGCAAAGGGCAGAAGTTGAGCAGCAGTGGGGGGAGAAGCTGCTGAAGTGCTGCCACTTGTTAGCTGCTTGGCCAAAGCAGTCAGGATCACCTGTCAGAGGCTCCAAGACCTACCAGCAGATCCTGATCTACTGGTTGGTGACCACTGCCCTAAAGAATTCACATGCTTTACCTTTGCTCGATTTGTGAAGCATGGAGACTACTTAAAGTCCATATCTAAACTGTTGAAACAGTTAAAGTAAACACTTAGCCATGGATTCGCAACACATATCCTCTAGGATATAATGTTAATTTATTTTGTACAACATAAATAGCTCTGTGACAGAGGAACCAATTTTTTTCTTGGCAGCTTTATATTTTAACCTCTCTACCTGTACTATACCTCTGGAAATTCCTGTATAAAATATTGTCAAACTGGAAATGAAGTATAAGAGATGAAAATATCAGAAACATAAAGTAATAAAAACTATAAGAAAACATCCATGTTAGCATATTGTTTTTGTCACCTTGGAGAATATTTTTCCATTATAGTCTGCACTAAAGTAAGTTGTATTGGTACCTAGACTTTGATAATGATTTAGTTGGATTGTTGTAAAATTCTAGGTAGTCATCCTTAAATAGTCAGAGTGAATGGAATTTTTTGGCACTTGTCGTATTCTACCCTGAAACTAACGGTTGGGGTTTTTTATTACAAAAGCAGGAGGAAAGAATAGAGTAAAAAAGAAAGTTTCAAAAGAAAAATAATGTATACTTCTAAAGTAAATTAAGATTTGTATGTAATATATGTTTTCCCCTAAGTGTATATGGTGATAGCTAGGAAACTATGAATGTTGCTTTAATAGAATAAATAAAAAGACTAGGAGAAAAATATTTGTCTTATACTTTTTCCATCACATTCAAATAAATATTGACAGAAAGTATCATAATATGGTTTGTGTTACAGGTGGTGTAATACCAAGGGCTGTACTGCTGCCACATCACAATTTTGTGAGGTTTCAGAGAGTAGTTCTGGTAAGGACACTCAATGATTTATATATTTGTTTTTAAATAGAGGTGGAATATTATTTTGGTATAAATTGGTATCAGACATTATATGCATTCACTTTATTAGTTAGGTATTAATTTTTTGCAGTCTGCTGAAATTTTACATTATGTATTTTTATTTAACAGCTCCTTTGGAGCTTTTATGTTCTAATGTATAAATCCATAATTAGCTCCTTGAGAGCTGTTATAACAGGTCAGTTCATAGTATGGAAATGCTATTAAATAGACCTTTGACAAAACAAGTTGCAGCAGCTGTATTGTTACCTTGAAATATGGAGTCATCATCATAATATGGATTTGCTTTGTACCTTATTTTTTAATGTTTTGTACACAGGATACTGCACATCATCTACAGAACGTATATTTCAAGTGTTACAGCTTTAGCTGGTTAAAAATAATAATTGCAGAGGTCATATTTACTGTACCATTACTAGTTCCATTTTCCCCCAGTTCTCATGTGCTACAGTAATGTTTTTTGGTTTTGATTTTTTAAAAATATGTATATAAATGAAAACAGTCTCTCTTGACCTCTTGAATTTTTCTTTAACCTGCTTCTCGTATTCTGTGTCTGTTTCATGGCCAGAATCATAAAAGAGATGAGATTATCACACTTTTTTAATAAAGGGAAGATGGTTTCTGAACTATGTACCAATAGCAAAGTTCATGGAGTGTGTGAGAACACAATTGTACTTGTTCTTACAGCAGTAGGTAACTGAAATTTTCAATATACACTGTATGCTGTAAGTTAACAAATATATTGTGCTTGTAGCAGATATCTTTTCCTCACCATCTATTATAGTTTACAGTAAAGAATCTGAAGATTCTGGGGAATAATCTTATGGACACTAAAAGATAAAAGCTGGTTGTTTTAACGAGCCATCTCAAGTGCATAGTTTAGAAGAACAGAGGAGAGAATCTTGATACGTGAAGTATCTTGTTACTGGCCGTAATCCCAGCAAAACTCTTGAGCAATTAATTGAAATCAAAGGGGCTACTACTGTGCGTTCATTGAGAATTCCAAATGGGGTCACCTATTGTTTGTGATTTAAAGAGAAAAAAGAAGGGGGAAGTAGGAAGATCTTAAGGTGCGGATGTAGGATTTGTTGGCAATGGGTGGTGCTGAGGCCCATAGGGTAGGAATGAGGACAGGGATTTCCATTTGTAGATTTGTGCTGGTCAGGATCAAGAGGGAAGGAGTTTTCCTGGTTATCACTGAATTGTTCATATAAAACTCATCAGATTGAGATTAAATTTGGGCATGATTGTATGCACAGTGTCTGTTTTTCAACATGCAGTTATGTTTAGTAGAGTATTGAATATGTACACAGGCATACTAGCACAGATGATAACATGCACTTCTACACTCTGTGATTTCTGAGTTTCAGGGTATGGGAAGACATGCCCCTCAGAGTTATATCAAAGTAAAGTAGAATAATGAATTGAGCAACATTAATCAGCTATTCTTTTTCTTTATCCTCATGCATCCTCAGGTGCATAGGGTCTCTGTCATTTATTTGGATCTTGTGCTGATCAGTTAAGGTTTCTGTCATGTTGATGGATTTAGCTTTGTTCTGTATTGTTCTGCATATTGTTTCTCTAGGTTGCCCTCTTTTTCTCTTTCCAGAGGGTATACATTTTATTACTGTGAAAGTCATGTTGGTACCATCCTTAAAGCATGCCCTAAATTGCAATTTTTTACCATATTTCAGTTTTAAAAAGGCTCGTCCTAATTAGAATTTCTGATGTTGCGAGAAGCACTTTCAAATGGATTCTGAATATCTACTGCGGGCATTTTACTTTGGAATGAATTAGTCTCAATTTCTGTTGTAGACTTTAGTAACTGTGCTCCATAAAGGAGAACAAAGGATAATGTGATATGTAATTCATATTTTTATGTCCATACCAATCAACCTACATTTCCAAGTTTATGAAAGCTGTTTGCTATGTTTGATATTTGTTGTATGACTTTTAGCATGGTGCCACTGTCATTGCACATCTCACTCTCTAGACAGGTGAAATGACTGTTTTCTTTTACTGTTTATTCTTCCACTCCAGGAATATGTACACTGGCGGGTTCTTGCACAAGAACACGTCCACACTGCCATATGCTTTTGCACAAGAGCATCCATGGCAGTGTGGACACTCTCTTGTGCAAGAAAGCTCTGATGGCCATTTTAGCCATAGAGCTTTCTTGCGCAAGAAACCCCTGCTGCACGTTCACAGTGCCTTCTTGTGCAAGAGCTCCTGCTCAAGAGGGCTTACACCTATTAGAAAAGAGCACAGCTCTTGCGCAAGAAGCCCTCTCTTCTGATGCCGTACTGTAAATCTTCTTGCACAAGAGCTGGTGGGCAGTGTGGATGGTCTGCGGGTTCTTGTGCAAGAACGGCCATTCTTGCACAAGAACCTGCCAGTGTAGACATAGCCTAGGAGAGATCAAAATACTACAAAAATGGGTGTCTATGAGGGTCAGTAGCAACATGTTTAGGCTATGTCTACACTGCAGGTTTCTTGCGCAAAAACTGTTTTGTGCAAGAGTTCTTGTGCAAAAAGTCTTGTGCAAGAGCACGTTCACACTGCCATGTGCTTTTGCATAAGAGAAGTGCTTTTGCACAAGAGCACCCATGGCAGTGTGGATGTTCTCTTGCTCAAGAAAGCTCTGATGGCCATTTTAGCCATAGAGCTTTCTTGCGCAAGAAACCCCTGCTGCACGTTCACAGTGCCTTCTTGTGCAAGAGCTCCTGCTCAAGAGGGCTTACACCTATTAGAAAAGAGCACAGCTCTTGCGCAAGAAGCCCTCTCTTCTGATGCCGTACTGTAAATCTTCTTGCACAAGAGCTGGTGGGCAGTGTGGATGGTCTGCGGGTTCTTGTGCAAGAACGGCCATTCTTGCACAAGAACCTGCCAGTGTAGACATAGCCTAGGAGAGATCAAAATACTACAAAAATGGGTGTCTATGAGGGTCAGTAGCAACATGTTTAGGCTATGTCTACACTGCAGGTAAGGGTTACTTTTAGAATCCTGAAAGTCTTTTTTTTTCTTTCCTTTGTTGATGAAGACACCAACTTGTTTTGCTTGAATTGCCAACAGCTTTCCTTCTTCGAATGCTTGCTCATGTCCATTTAACATGGGTGCCTGTCACATGCATGGGTGCTGGAAGATTTTCCCTAAGCAGTTTCCATAGGGGCTGGGGTCCCCAGTGTCCTCTGGAGTGTCACATGCATGCTACACCTCCCCTCTTCCTCCCCCCACCCTCCTTACTGCCAATGATGATGCTTGGAACAGCATGCTCCAGCCTTGGCTGCAGCAAGCAGTCCATTTGCATTCTTGATAGTTCTACATGATCTGCTAAGTACCTGTAAATTATTGGACTTTCATTCTTCTGAAGAGATTCTGCTGGGGGCATCATATGCCCAGGTCCCCTGGCTTCAAAGCCCAGGCATGATGTCACAGGCCCATGCCAGTCAGTGATCAGCATGCTAACTGCCTGTGTTGCCTCGGAGAATATGTCTTGGACAACTGTCGCATTTTCAGGTCCTTCCATCCAGAATTATCGAAGAGTGAAGCATTCGTCTTACAGTGCTGTTAGTGGAGTTCACACTTGCCCCACAGGATCAGCAGTCTGACTCAGCACGGAGCATCGGTGCCTTGGTGCTCGGCACTGGTCATCATCCATGGCACTGGGTAGGCCTGCTAAGAAGCTGGGCCAGAGACAAGTTCCCTCGTAAGGATTAAGAGGAAGAAGAGTGACCAGTCAGCGGACAGGCCGGAAAAGCCTCAAAAGGCACTGAACCCTGCGTTTGAGTCACCTTCATCAGTGCTGTCAATGTCAGCACTGCCAGTGCTGTCCCGGGGCACAGCATGGCTGCCATCTCAGTGGAAGGTACAGTAGTGTCCATGGACTCCCTGGTGCTTACCGGTACAGCCCCAGCATATCCACTCGGACGCTGGATACTCGGTCCACCTATCACCCTCGGTGCTGCCAAGGTCCCGTAAGTCTCAAGGGGGCGCGCACACACACACAGTCTTGTTGTTGCTTAGTTTCTAGCTTGTTGCTCCCTTATCTTCACTGGCCAGGTGAGTTAGATGAGGGAGCGGAAGTAAGGAGCTGGGCTTCTGTCGGTCCGGACCTGTGCTTCGATGTTGACAAAACAACACTCAGTTCTATAGTTTTGTATCCATCTTTTTTTATGTTTTAGTTCATAGATCTTGTGCTGTCCTACTGCCCCAGGACACTGTGGGTATGTCTACACAGCAAAGTTATTTTGGAATAATGTCTTTTTTTTCTGAAATAACTATGCGAGCATCTACACAGCATTTCCATTATTTTTTCAAAATAAGATGGCTTATTCCAACTTCTGTAAACCTCATTTTACGAAGAATAATGCCTATTCTGCAATAGCTATTTCAAAATAACGTGTGTATAGACTTTCTGCTTCTGCTGTTTCAAAATAGAATGGCCCTGGTGATTGGCTAAGTTATTCCTCCTGGGGCTCTAAATCGAGATAGCACGTCTACATTAGGGAAGCCTCCTCGGACTAATTTTGGGGCTTCCCTGCAATATAGATGTGCTATTTTGAAATGAGCTATTTTGGAATAACTATTCCAGAATAGCTTATTCCGGAATAACTGTGCAGAGTAGGCGTAGCCTGTATGACCATGAGTTATCAGTTAATGGCAGATGGGACTTGGATCTTTTTTTCTGGATGGAGCTTTTGTTTTTCTCTTTCTTGGGTGGGTTCTTTTGTAGGGCTCACCTGCATTTTCTTCAGCCAGCAAGGTGGTGGTGGTAGCTGGTCATCCGGCATGCTGGCTGGATTCAGGGACTGATTCCTTTACACACCCACCCACCCACATTCACACTTTTACATAGACACACACCTACTTTAAACAGAGTAAATACAGTACAAAGTTTAAAATGGGGTTTCAGTTAAATATATACAAAAAAATTAACAGATTTTCAAAGGCAA